AGCGAATTTTGGAGTAACTTTTTAAAATTACTGGGTTTAAAGACACAGCTAAAATCCCGTTTCCATGGTTACAGATAAATCTATTTCAACTGGACAAGGGTTGTCCAGGTTTTCCTTATGTCTGTATCATTGTATCGGTTATTAGCTACATTTTGGTAAGGATTATATATCTTACTGTTCTTTCTTTTTTTCTTTAAATTTATATATATATATATATATATATATATATATATGTATGTATGTATATATATATATATATATATATATATATATATATATATAGAGAGAGAGAGAGAGATAGATAGATAGATAGATACGTTGTGAACTGTCTGCTACAAATACACTTCCTAAAGGGAAATTATAAACAAGCGATCAATATATTGACCAAAATATTTTGGTGTATTTGAAACCGAATTTAAATTGGTTGGATTTCTTATTTTCTTTTTGGAAATGACTCAAAATTGTTGAAATCAACGAGATAAAAAACGCTGCCAAATTAACTTCATCCTCTTTATTAGAGAAATTTCAAAAGTAAAATATACCTTTGGGAATCTTTATTTGCGGAAGATTAGCTGATTTAAAGGTTAATTAATCTGTTTTAAAACAAATATTAATCACTTTTAGTTTTAAATGTTTGCAACATTAATTTGTAGCAGTTAGGTGATATTGTTATGTTTCAAAACTATATTACAACATTCTGCATATTTATATACACAAAAAAATTCGAAAGTTTTTACATTTATGTTTAGTACATTTAATTTTATTTAATAACTGTATCACCTGACTGCTTCAAATTAATGCAGAACTTTATAAATTACTAGCAGTAGAGCCCGGCGTTGCCCAGGGATGTAACAGTAAGAGATAGATCAAGTATCGACCATCATAAAGACTGAAAAATAAAATTGACAAATATTATTGTTTAAGGTTGACAGACACACATGTCTTAATTAGTTTTTTTTTTTTTTTTAGGAATTGGTCAAACCCAAACTCAAACAAAAACATTGTTTTCAATCGTTATGAGTCTACCGATTGAATAGAATTTTATTATAAACAATTGTCTTGTAAATGGAATTTTTAAAGCATTCTGAATGTAAAAATAAAGAAAAAAGTGACAATCAGAAACACTACCTGCCAAAAAAAGTGAAGTTTTGTTGAAATCGGTTGAAAAATGTAAGAAATCCGATCCCGTATATAAACGAACACACACACACACACACACACAAACAACCTGGGATTTTATAATAAGTTTAACTCGATATGAGTTGTCCCCCTTACATTCTAGCGACAGAATCGTGTTTTATCGTGTTTTCAAATTGATTTCCTGCAAAAACAATTGTGTTTTTCCAATGTTTGGCGCTGTCAGAACTAACACAAGGTAATTTTACGTAGTCCTGTGAAGTTTTGTTGAAATCGGTTGAAAAATGTAGGAAATCCGATCCAATATATAAACGTACAGACACACATACACACACAATCTGCGTTTTATAATAAGTAAGATTCTAAATTAAAAAATTTTTAAAAGTGAACAATTCTTCTTTTGATTTTATCAACAATCTCTAAATGCATAGCAGGATCATCGGAGCATATGTGGCAGCAATACGCATAGACGTATGGTAGACATATATATGAAAGTTAGATTAAGGAGAGAAAAAAAATCTATCCAGCACGACACAGTGAACGAATGAACCTAGTAATCGATTCAATATAATCTTTCCACTTCATGACAGCGGGAAACTTTAGTCCGAGAAGGCGCAGTATGTCACTCTACTGGGGGTTAGCATCTGCCAAGCGGATGGAAAGTAAAATCGGTTTTCCGAGACGAGAAGTGATTCCTGTGGGCTACAGCGGCAGAACAAGCCGGTGTGAACCAAGATATTTTTAAGATGGAAAAAAAAATCAGATTCCTGCTTTAACACAGGGAGAATTCTTTTTTCATTTTACGATTCAGACAATATTTTCTGTACTCAGGTTCCTGTTTTTCAGAAACAAATTGAGTATTTAAATGTCCCAAGGACTTGCGCTTATAATTAATATGAACTGCAAAAATGAATTTCTGGAAATGTCATAAAATTAAATTAAGTGCGAAGTAACAGATGTAAAAAAATACATCATTTACGAAGATTTTTTTAAAGAAGGAAAGGTAGTAAAATTTACATATATATATATATATATATATATATATATATATCTTTATATATAATATATATTTAATTCCTTTTTCATCTGTTTCATTGTTTCATTTAAAATACATTTGTTCATAAATAAAGTGATCCTTAATTACGCCATCATTTTTTTCTCTCGATTGACCTTTTCACTTCTGGCAAATCTTGATTATACAAATTCTTCTGACTTGTCACTACGTGATTGGACGAGAATAGATTCATTGTTTTTATTTATTTAATTCTTTTTTTTTCTTTTTTGCCTTTGACACGACTTTTTGGGTTTGTTTTTTCCATCATTTATTTAGATTCACCCTCTTTTCATTTTCCCTATTTCATTTCTTCTCGCCTGTTTGTTTTTGCTCTTTTTTCTCATCGTTTAATTTTCTTTCTTTCTTTCTTTACTTTTTCTTGTTTCTTTATTTTTTCTTTTTTCTTTTTCTTTTTTTTCTTATTCGCCTTCTGTCCTTTCTTTCTTTTTTTCTTTTTTCTGTCTTTAGTCTTTTTACTTTCTTTCACTTTCCATGGAATTTCTTCATAATCCCTCTCTCCTACCGTCTTTCTTATTTATTCTTTAGTTTTTGTTCTTTTTCTCTTTCTCTCCTACAGTTTTTTCCTTTATTCTTTCTTTCTTACAGTCTTTCTTATTCTTCTTTAATCATTTCTTCTTTCTTCCTTTTTTCTTTCCTTGCGTCTTTCTTTTTCTTCGTTCTTCCTTTCTTTCTTTCCTATCGTCTTTCTTTCCATCCTTCTGTCTTATTTCTTCTTCCTTTCTTTCTTTCATCATTCATTTTTCTTCTTTTCCATTGTCTCTTTTTTCTAGAAATATTTTTGATACACCCTCCATATATATATATATATATATATATATTTCATCATTCATCTTTTCTGTATTTTCTTTTTTCAAAAATTATTTTTGATACACCCTGCATATATACGAGGTTCATTCAATAAATAAGGTGAATTTTTCGGTATAAGGACTTTTAATACAGATAGAAGCTTACTTTCTTTTTTTTCAACGTAGTCTCCCAGCACTGTCACACACTTTTCCCATCTGTGCACAAGCTTCCGTATTCCCTCAGTGTAAAAATCTTTGGACTGATGTCTCAGCCAGTTGCTCACAACACTTTTGACTTCATCGTCACTTTTAAACTTCGTGCCTCTCGTGAACGCTTTCAAGGGACCAAACAGGTGAAAATCTGAAGGGGCAAGGTCTGGGCTGTAAGGGGGATGAGGGAGCAGTTCCCAGCCCAGCTCGTTGATAGTCTGCACCGTTTGGGCTGCTGTGTGAGGCCTTGCGTTGTCATGATGCAAGATGACTCCTTCTGACTGATGACCCCTGCGTTTGTTCTTTATGTCTTTCTTGACCTGCCTCAGCAGTTCACAGTAGTTCTCCTGTCAGACTGAATGACTGCTTCGATCACCTCAGGAGACCTCACTTCTGTAGGCCTCCCAGGCCTGTCTTCATCCTCAACACTACTCCATCCTTCTTTAAACAATTTAGCCCACTTGTAGACATTTTTTTTTTTTTTGGCTGAAACATGTGGCACCATACACAGTTGACATTCTCCTATGAATTTCAACTGGTTTGCACCCTTCAGCAACCAAAAACTTGATAACTGACCGCTGTTCAATCCTGGAGCATGCTTCTTGGTCGGCCATTTTTGTTCATCGCCAAAACTCTCAAAGTTTTTTTTTTAATCTGCAAAAGAAATTAAATCCATGTGAAAAAGAAGTAAAACAAAAAAAAGTAAGCTTCTATTTGTATTAGAAGTCCTTATACCGAAAAATTCACCTTATTTATTGAATGAGCCTCGTATATATATATATAATTGCTTAAGTCTTTTTTTGATGTTCAGCTCAGGAACCGAGTTCGATCCTCGCTCTCTCCTCAACCTGATCTTCTTGTTATTAAAAAATATTCTTATCCCTTTTGTAGTTGGCAGATAGATTTTCCATGTTAACAGAATTTTGTATGAAGCACTTAGTGAGGATTGAACTCACTACTCATTATTAATAGTCAAACAAACTAGCCTCAAAAACAATTCCATGGTATTATCAAAGACCGAAGTGCCTTGCATAATTATGTTGCTTCTTTACTTCCACTTAATTTTAAGATTGTCGTGATCGTAGAAGCATTCCCAGGGGAGTCCACTTCACTTCGCTGTTCAGAGATAGAAGCTGTCTAATAAAAGAACGGGAAATCAGAAAGAAAACATTGGCATTGCATATAAACTTTTGAAGATCAAAGTTGACTGAGAAGCAAGAAACAGTAAGAGTGTCCCACAAGCGAGATGTGCGATCGAAGAAACTTTTAACATAGAACTTACGGATACACCTAGCCATTTCAACTGTAAAATGATGAGACCACTAGAAACAATGCTAAATACAGCGTGTGGCTTCAGAAAGGGAACTAATTCGTATGAGATTAAATGCTTAATTGATATGTGTTGTAGTTTTTTTTGTTTTTTTTTGCACTAGGACAGATTGATCAGACCTTTAAACTCTTATGGTAATTTTATAAGCCTAGCTTAGAAGGGGCACCCAGTGAGAATCGAAGTCACTATTTATTCGTAATTGATCTATTGAGACATGCTTGCTAACCATTATACCACGTCAATGTGCCCCTGAGGTATTTATAATCCTAGCATAGATGTGGTACATACCGAATGTGTGGGGCACGCAGTGAGGATCGAACTTACTATTCAGTCTTAATTGATCTATTGAGACACGCTTGCTAACCACTACACCACGTTATTGTGTCCCTGGTGATTTTAAAAGCCTAGCTTAGGTATGGTACAAGGCTGAAAATATGGGGCACCCAGTGAGGATCGGACTCACTATTCAGTCGTAATTGATCTATTGAGACCCGCTTGATAAGCATTACGCCACGTCGATGTGTCTCTGATGATTTTAAAAGCCTAGCTTAGATATGGTACAAGGCTGAAAATATGGGGCACCCAGTGAGGATCGGACTCACTATTCAGTCGTAATTGATCTATAGAGATCCGCTTGATAACCATTACGCCACGTCGATGTGTCTCTGGTGATTTTAAAAGCCTAGCTTAGATATGGTACAAGGCTGAAAATATGGGGCACCCAGTGAGGATCGGACTCACTATTCAGTCGTAATTGATCTATTGAGACCCGCTTGATAACCATTACGCCACGTCGATGTGTCTCTGATGATTTTAAAAGCCTAGCTTGGATATGGTACAAGGCTGAAAATATGGGGCACCCAGTGAGGATCGGACTCACTATTCAGTCGTAATTGATCTATTGAGACCCGCTTGATAACCATTACACCATGTCGATGTGTCTCTGGTGATTTTATAAACCAAGCTTTGATGTTGTACAATGTGATGGTATTGGGTACTACAGTTTCCTGTCTTGAGTACCTCTTGGTAAAGTTTCTTTTTTGCTATCTCTCCTAATAAGCTTACGGTCAAATCACGCTGAAACACCGGTTCTCGTACGATCGCCGCAGTTAAGCAGCGTAGAGCCAGGTCAGTACTTAGATGGGGGACCGCTTGGGAACACCTGGTACTGTAAGCCCCCAAAGTCGAACCCTTACCTCACAGTCGGTGGGGGGTGTAAACGGTAGTGTCAGAGCTATGCCGCCCGGAACTTCGTTCCTGGTAGGGCCACCCAAGGCGGACAGGTCTGACACACACGCCGGCTAACAAGGGCTCTGGTGAAAATCCAAGGAGCGTCTGCAGCGGTAACCGGCGGCTTCTGGTCGTTCCTGTCTCTGCGTCTGTGGGAACCCCGCGGCAAGCAAGAACGTTATCCGAGTAGGCCTGGGTACCGTACTTCTGTAATTTATCCCAAGAATCTTCTTCTCATAACAGGAAGAAGCCGGCTCAATCCGCCCAGGGTGAATGCCGCATCAGTACAGTACAGTATCTCTCCTAATCCTTATTTTGCCAATGATTTACGCAAGCTCCTTATGTAGGTTTTTTTCGCTACTATCCTCTACCTTCAATATGTCCTGACTGTGTAAATTTTCAACGGCCTCCATCCTCTTTATGTACCATAGAAAAAAAGTAAAATAATGCCCTGAAATAAGTAAACAAGCAATCGTTTTAATATCTCTGATTATTGACATCATTTTTTAAAGCCTTGTCGCTTCAGGACGTAGGTAATTAAGGCTCTTCGCAAATACGTTTCCTTTATTGTTGCGAATTGCCACTACTTCTTGAAAAAGACAATGGATATTTATTCAAATCGGCTTCTCTAGTTGTGCAAACCTATTGTAAAGCCAAATGAATACAAGGCTTTGGTAAGTTCTACTAGACAAACTGACTCAGCAAATGTTGAAAGAGGCAGAATATCAGACACGATTAATACAAAAAGTGATGATCATTTCATAATACTTGGTCCTAATTGAGGATCCAACGAGAAGAGTTCATCAGAGCAATTGCCATTAAAGTATTTCTAGAAAAGTCAGAGGGAAGCTATGCTACGGTGATGGGAAAGGGACTGAAGCCGAGATGCCAGGTCAGAAGCAATAATATTGCGTATTTTTCTTTGGATGTTATCAAGAATATCTAAATATATAGCTGGAGCATCAGGGCAGATGTGATGGAAATATTCTTAGCATGAACGAATAGTAGACTTATAAATATTTAAGATAGATTCGGGCGAGAAAAATTGTCTAGCACGTCAAAGTGAACTAACTGTCTTAGCTGCAGACTTAGCAATTGATTCAAAAAAATCATTCCATTTCATGGCAGCAGAACACCTTAGCCCGAGAAGGCACAATGAGTCACTCCAGTGGGGGTTAGCATCAGCCATGCTGATGAAAGGCAAACGGGTTCTCTCGGAAAATAAAAAGAGAGCAGTTTCGTTGTTGATGCGCTAAAATTAACAATCCACTACTAGCTCTATAAAAAAAAATTGTAGACCATTTGTTTTAGACCAGCTTCCAATTTGACGTAATTGAATCGGTGAAGTTTACTATTAAGATTACAGTAAATAACTGTGTTGTCAGTATAGTTGAAAATTGATGCTGGCTAACTACATTGAAACATAAGCGACATCAAATATCTTCAGTTCTATATTACCATTGTTCTCGCAGAGATTCGGATTATTCCGGAATTTCTTAGTCGTCAGCGGGTAATTAATGAGAAGTAATAAATGAAACTGCAAACCACAAATCTCAATGTACCAGAACTCTCCTCAGTACTCTGATAGAATTAATGCACCCACTCAACTAGTTTAATTATTCTTTGAATCGTTATCATCATATAATTCTTTTTGTTTCTATGTTAGCTACTTTGCACGTACGTTACGCCCGGCTCATACCCCATAAATAATGGACTATTAGAGGGGAGACTATAATTATCTCGTACTTTTTTTACGGCTTAACAACCCTTTGTGGGTTATTTAAAACCGAAATAGAATTTATATTGTAAGAATATATATATATATATATATATGTATATTTTGAGAGTAAATTTTGCATTAACGATTTTTTAAGAATAACAACGATTTTTCCAGATACAAGTCCTATTTAACCCATAGATGTGGGAGAAGATGGAATCATACCTTTCCCAATGGTATTTGCGCATAGGTGAATATAGTGAAACTGGCTGGAATTGGAACTCGGCCCTCCGATTAACAATACTGAACCATTATCCATTACACCACCCGCACTTCCAAGCTTACAGCACCTGGTATTTCCAAGCGGTCACCCATATAGATATGACCAGGCTCGACGTTGCTTAACTTCGGTGATATTACGGGAACCAATGTTTGAAATTCGTATGGTTGTATGCCCATTATATTTAGTTAGTTTGCACGTACTTTACGTCCTGCCAATACCTTATTATTAATGGGCTATTTCCTTTGGATTGCGAGGCTTACTCTTAAGAAAGGGGTAAATATTTGTGTCATCAGTTGCCAATGGTATAAGAAAGGAATATAAATGGCTCGACTCAATATACGCTGTATGTCCGGTCAGAGTTGTTGGGACGAAGAAAGATGATCCATCGGAACATTTGCCATTCAAATAGCCAAAGGGTAAGAGAGAGTGTATATAAATGTACATGTGGGAATAAAAGAAGTACGGCGGGAAATAATTCACCCGACAACAAGGTCGTGCAAACGCTTTTGGATTTGGTCGAGGCTGGAAAATATTGGTTTGGACAGCCGTGGCCGATATATGTCAGAAAAATCTCCATGTTTACTCTGGTTTGACTCTTGTAGAGGTTGATCATGGCCGAAAGGTATTCATATCTGGGGTGATATAGGGAGCCGAGTATTTTGCAGCATTTTTAGTGATGCTTCGTACAAACGATTTCCAGTTTGCCTTTCATTATTTAATTTTAAAATATTTATCAAAATGTTCCTTCATCATTTCTTGTGATATTTTATTAAAATTAATTTTTTAAAATTTTTTTTTTCTTAATTCATTTCATTTTTACAAAACATTAATTTCTATTTATTTTCTATTTATTTTTCCATTCTTGGTTGTTTTTTCTTTTCTTTTTTTCCCTTTTTTGTTTTTAGATATCTTATTTCCTTAACTTTTTCTTATTTTTTGCATTTTAATCATCTTTCAGTTTTTTTTTTTGTTTGTTTTTACTTCTTTCCACCATTTTCTTTTTTTAAGTTTAAGGTCTCCTTCTTTCCTTTCTTCATGACCATTCGTTCTTTCTTCCTTTTTCTTTCTTTCTTTCATTCTTTCTTTCTTTCTTTCACCCTCCCACGTTTAATTTTCTGCTTTCTTTCTTTCTTTCTTTCTTTTCATTTCATAACACGTTCAAATATACATTGGATTTTCTTTTCTCTTTCTATATTTCAGCTATTTTAAGAAAAGAACGGTGTCTCACCGTTCTTTTCTTTCTTTCTTTCTTTCTTTCTTTCTTTCTTTCTTTCTTTCTTTCGTTTTCTGCTTTCTTTCTTTCTTTCTCTCTTTCTTTCTTTCTTTCTTTCTTTCTTTCTTTAGTTTTCTGCTTTCTTTCTTTCTTTCTTTCTTTCCATATTTAATTTTCTGCTTTCTTATTTTATTTCTTTCTTAAATTTTCTGCTTTCTTTCTTTCTTTCTTTCTTTCTTTCTTTCTTTCTTTCTTTCTTTCTTTCTTTCACGTTTAATTTTCTTTCTTTCTTTCTTTCTTTCTTTCTTTCTTTCTTTCTTTCACCCTCCCACGTTTAATTTTCTTTCTTTCTTTCTTTCTTTCTTTCTTTCTTTCTTTCTTTCTTTCTTTCCATAATTATTTCCTTAATTTTCTCTTTCCTTTTACTTTTTAATTTCTCTGCATCTCTCTTCCCTCTCCCCCTCCCTATGTTCCCTCTCCCGCCTATCTCACTCTGTTCCCTCTCCCTCCTTTCTCTCTATGTTTCTTCTCCCCTTTTTTACTCTCTGTTCCCTCTCCGTCCTCTCTATTTTCCTTCTAACTCCTATCACTATCGCTGTCACTATTTCCTCTCCATCCTTTCTGTCTCTCTGTGTTCCTTCTCCCTCTCTCTCACTTCCTCTCTCCTTGTTCCCTTTCCCTCTTCCCTCTCTATGTTGCCCCTCCCTCCTCTCTCTGCCCCACCTCCATCTCTTTCTTTCGGATACTTTGGCGCATTGGCGTTTTTCCTTTTGGTTTTGAATATTTTTAATTGTTCACTCTTTGTCTCATTAAAAAAAAATTCTCTCTCTCTTTCTCCTCTTCTCTCCTCTATCTATCTCCCCCTCTCCTCTCTTCCAGACTCTTCTCCCTCCCTCTCTCTCTCTCTGTTGCTTTTTTCTTCACCTCTCTTTTCCACTCACACACGCTTATATGTTTCTCTTTTCTGCTATTTCTTCTTCATATTCTCCCCTACTTCCCTATTCTAATTTCTCCCCTTAATTCTTAATTTTTAACCTCGAGCCAATTCCGACTCCCCACAACTACCTCACCCATTCCCCACCTACAGTTTTACCGCCACATCCCGTGTTTTCTCCCATCTCTAATTTCCTAAAGTGTTCCTTAGGCCGTCATGATACGGGTGGCAAAGTTGTTTTTATTCAAATATCCTTTGTTCTTGTACGTTTTTCTTTGCTGAATTCTTATTGTTGTGGTTACTGGATGGACGGTTGGGTGTATTTTAGCTGATGGGGAAACTATGCTTTTGGGTTTTAAACTTTTGTAGCGTTGGCTTTCTGCTATTTTCTTGTCAACTTTTTTTCTTTAACTCGGGGAATGCTTTTGTTTTTTTATTCTAAAACAGATTTAAAAGAAAATTTATAAGAATTTATTTTTACTTTATTCATTTATCTAAATAATTTTAAATATAATTTCTAATTTTGTGATTTGTATAGGTTAAGCTTTTCTTTCGTTTTTACTCTCAAAGAACTCTTGGAAAAGGTGGTATAGAAACGCAAGAATAAATGCTAACTTATATACGACAAGAAGACAGAATAAACAGGGTTTCCATAAAGTTTTTGTTTTATACAATTTGAAAAAAAGTTATTACAAAAGCAAATGAACAGACAAATATGTGGAAATTGTTACAAAATGAAGAGGAGATATTGAAGGATTTTTTAACTAATTTTATCCACCTCTATCTGGACACCATTAGTTGCATGAAGTACATCAGGACGGTACTTGGTTTCTGGCCATGTTCGCTGTAGCATAGCCTCATCAATGATGGTAATCAATGATCTTTTGCTTCGAGTAAATTCGATGGTAAAAAAACTAATCTAACATGGAAACCCCCTGTAATTGTAGAATTAAGGTAAACTCCCCAGTAGAGGGCAAATGCAGATCCACTAGGGTAGTATACCAAACAACCATTAGCCCTAAAGAAAATACGACAAACCATAATATTTACATAGGTATTTCTGCAGGAGAATTTAAAAAGAGAATCGATAAACATAGCCATTCATTCACCAATCCAAAATTAGAACACCAAACAGCGCTTTCAAAAAAAAAAAAAATGGGAATTGAAGGAAAAGTATCTGAATCCGCAAAAAAAAATGGAAAGTACTAGGTTTCGCGAACACCCCCCAATAGTTTTGGGGATAAGCGCAAGCTATGTTTAGAAGAAAAAAATCAGTATAATAAAATATAAAGATTAACGCAAAATATTAAATCAACGGAGGAAACCAGTCACGAAATGCAGACATAGAAATATATTTCAAATTATATAAGAATACATGTGCACATATGTGGGGGTATATGTGTACGTATAGTGATATATATGTATGAACATATATATATATATGTGTGTGTGTGTGTATGAGTGTGTGTGTGCGCGCGCGTGTGTGTATGTGTATGAAGAAAAGTAGGCATATAAGTGTGTTGGACAGCATGATTTATCCGTTGGATGCTCTGGTATTACCTACACTCTATAAATCTATAACACAACTAATTTACATTAATCTTAACGGGCTTAAGTTTAAATCGCCCATCGCTTATTAATAATATTAAACACCTTTAGTACCAAAATTATTTACTGTGATTCCCAGAAAAACACACTCATTGTAGGAACTGATATTAAACTACAAAGTCCTGGCCATAAACAAGCTTCTTGTTTGCATTTCTACCAATTTCCGATCAGCTCCCTTATACAGGGACGCTTGTTTACAAAGCATTTCAGAGCGACAACAGGATAGATTTAAAACCTTAAAATAATTATAACAGCGCGTTAACGCACGTTATTTTTTTAAAATCACCATCAGAAAGAAAGAAAATTTTATCTCAGTTACATTAAAAGTGTCTTTGTAATTCAGCCCAGAGGCACTTGGGTAAGTAAAAACTACGGCGCCTTCTTTGATGAATTTCATTTTTAACATCAACAGATGATTAAGGAGCTGGTAAGGATCAGTGTAAAAATCAATAGATGTTATATTACTATATAATTCAATGATATATATATATATATATATACACAGAGATATAGATATAGATATTTGCAAGGGTGTGTATACAGTATATGACAGAGCAAGATCTTTAATATTACCTTCAAATATTACCCCATATTAACTAAAATTTAAGTAAAAGAGATTACCCATCTAGAAACAGTCACGAGTGAAATTCCTGAACAAAATTCAAACGGATAGAGATGTCAACTTAATAATCAATAATAACATTTTTGTTGTGGTAGGATCCACCTAATTTACATAATGGAGTACCGACCATATAAATATGGTTGGTACCGGGAAGACGGGGAAGGAAGAAGAGATCCAATCCAGAGACTCTGCCCGACTGTGCCTAAGTCAACCCATTCTACAGGAACGGTCTTCCCAAGAATATACCAAACACTCTGTAAATATTGTGTATACTTTCTTTGTTCAATACATTTTGTTTCAGTACATTTTGTGTTGTATTATTATTATTATTCCATGCTTTATTCAAGTTTCAACAATTTCTTAAAGAGATTAAAAAAGAGATAACTACAAGTAAACTTATATTTTAAAATAAAATTTTATTCTTTTAATGTACTTTCTATGAATATTTTTCTAATTGACTATTTCATAGAAAATCCCTAAAATTTTAAAAAAATTTAAATTACTGACAAACATAAAATTAAATTATTTGTAGACAGTCTAGAGACATTCAAATTTATATCAAATATTATAAACTTTATGAACCCCCAAAACAACACTTTCAAAGTAAAACAAAATAAAAGCGTCTGTTTCTAGCCTTTTTTTTACAAAGAAAATTAGTGACAACTTCTCTCATAACTTCCTTCTCTCTTTTTCTCTCCATGGGTTTTTTCTTCTCTACCCCTTCGATATCAATATATAACTACCGTTAAGTTAACCGTTTAAATGTGTCAATATCTGCTAACTCACTCATGTCTTCTCTCTCCCCCCTCACTTCCTCACTTCGTTAATTTCCATATGTTTAATACGGCCCGTCAAAAATGTGTAAATTTTCTTTTCATTTTTTGTTTGGAAGTAAAGTCTGATAATCCGCAGTCTTTTTAAAAGGGTTGTGGTGAAATAATTTATTACATGGAACCTTAAAGTGGTCTGTTTTTATTTAATATATATATATATATATATATATATATATATGGAGGCACGGTGGAGTAATGGAAGGCGGCTAGGATTGAGGAATCGGAGAGCCGATGTCGTACTAATATCCTTGTGAATCCTCTTCTTCTCCCTATGGGTAAATAGCAGGACAGACTGGATGGCAACTGGTCTAGGACAACTCTGAATTCAAACTCAGAATGGAGCCCCTAAGGCGGATGGATGACACTTTGTGCTACCTTCCGGCTGTATTGGTTTATCCTCTCTTTTGGACTCTGCTAGCAAGGCCGAGAGGGGGCAGCCCTAGTTCTTCATATATCCCGCCCAGGCTCGTGGCGCACCGCGCTACTCCATCGTCTCTCGAGGACGGATGCCGACGACGGTATCTATATATATATATATATATATATGTGTGTGTGTGTGTGTGTGTGTGTGTGTGTGTGTGTGTGTGTGTGTGTTGTGTGACGTCACCCCGGCCTGTCTGCCTCCGTGCTATCCTGTGACGACCAATGTGACTTGGTATTGATCGCAGCGCCAAATGTGACGTTCTAACCCTTGGCTGATTCGGATGGGAATCTGGTTAGATTCGGTATCAGCTTTGTCGATCCCAGCTCGCCTCCAACGTCTGGTTACCGAAGTAACTGCTTTGATTTCTAGTCTAACCTACCCACGTTGTGATTTGATCTTAGGTAGACGAAATCAATCAGTCGCCGGGCCGTAATGCAAGCCGAATTCGAGCAAAGGTGACATCGCACAAGTATATGTAAAAGAAAATAAAGTAACAACACGAAAGATTCAAATGTGTTAAAAAAAGAATAACAAATATTTTATATCTGGTTGCTGAATACATGACTGCATCTTTCTCCCAACCCGCTTCTATGGATACGTGACACTTTGCGTTTGTTAGGCGAGTCTTAATATCTTAAGTTGTTTTTCAATAACTGGCTTTTTGTATCTTCAGGCGATATTCGTAAAACTTGTTTTGGTGATGTGAGTCTCAGTCGTTCTTCAAAAATAAATTGTTCTTGGTTAGAAGTCGAAGTCGGAATGCGTGGATCATCAGTCACCTTCCTGCGAGGCTGGTCTCAGAGTTTACAGCTCAACTCTGTCTGCGTCTGCGTCTCCTCGGAACTCTGCCGAACTCTAACTCCAACTACCGTCAACTCGCTGCGACTCTGTTTATATGGACGCCGACTAAAACGGGGTGTGGCCTATCGTGTTTTGGGTTCCTCGATAATTCTAAATCCACAATAAGGATTTTCTTTATTTTCGGACGGGAAAATTTATCACTTTCCATTTTTGGAAGTCCATTACTTTCTGCTTTAGAGAGGTTCTTAAGGGAATCGTCTTCCAAAATTCATCCTTTCTCATATTGGTATCTCACACTAATCCCCTCAGAGGGCGTCAACAGGTTTCCCTTCTTTTTCATAGTGGTATTTCACACCAATCCCCTCAGATGTCGTCAACAGGCTTCCCTTCCTTCTCATATGTTTACCTTCGCCCACCGCTCACGCCACCACTCAGCCAATGACGCTCGGCAGCGAGTGTGTTTACAATTATCGCTCAAAGGAAAAAAAAATATCTTCCCTTTTTTTTCTTTTCTTTCTTTTCCTCCGCCAGACACCTACGACTCGTAGTGTAGTCCTTAATCTCTATCTTAACCGAATGTCATCTGGAATTTATCAACGAGATTTTCGCCAGCGTCAAATGTGTGGTCAACTAGACGTCTTCGCACCCTGTCGCCAATTATCTGTCCCGGTAACAAACTTTTATCATGTCCAGGTCTGGACAATAAAACAGGTGGTTTCTTTCCCAAAACAAATGATATCTCCGAAAGATAGTTAATTCGCCCTGTAGGCCACTTGACCAATTTGAAATTTTCATTAT